AACAAACAGAGCCCCCCTCATATGCTGCACTCTCGAGGTAAGGGGGGCAATTCCTAATCCTGAGGGGGAATCTGCAGGGCTTAAGGCATCTAGGGTCCAGGGTTTTAGGGTTGCGTATACGAGTTCAGGGGGTTCGAGCTTACAGGACCTGCGGGTTCGGGTTCATCTAGTGCTCTGGCTTGAGATCATGCTGTCACAGGGCACTGATGGCAAAGACCCCCCAAAATACCTAAATATTATGGGCTTATCGGGGTCAATAGGGTTCCCGTGACGAAAGTCTTAGGACGCAAGGTTTTAGGGCAAAGGCCTGACGGTTCACGTTGTTTACGCAGAAACCTCCCTTCAGTTCAAGACTCTCAAGCTGAAGACCAGCTAATCCAAATGCCTAGACCTTGTCCCTTAGGCACAAAATAGCTCCAAGACCCTATGTCCCTGTTAAGAACTGGCATGAAAACTTGGGCCCTACTGCTGCTGTAGGGTCCTTAAGGGAGGGCGGTTCATTTGGGGTAGGTACCAAAGGAACCTTGGAAAAGCTCAGGGAGCCTTAGGGAGTATATGTGGGGAGTCTTAGGGAACCTGTGGGTTGCATACCCCCCCTTGAACCCCAGTTAAGAATCTAAGAACCCTAAGAATACCCAAACCCTAAATCCCCCCTTGAACCCTGCTCCTCATCTCCCTGAACCCCCCCCCCCCCTCCCTGAAGAACCACAGAATGCTAGAGGCTGCTGTACCCTAAACCCTAAACCCTAAGAATGCTGGAGGTTGCTGTATTTCATGCCCTTCTCCCTTAAACCCTAAACCCTAAACCCTAAACCCAAACCCTAAACCCTGGAGGTTGCTGTATTTCATGTCCTTCTTGCTCCTGCTGTCCATCGCCCTGATGAACCTAGCCTCATCCTCAGCTCACAAGGGCTTGAGGTTTTGGGAAGCCCTAAACCCTAAACCCTAAACCCTAAACCCTAAACCCTAAACCCTAAACCCTAAACCCTAAACCCTAAACACCATGCCTTGGGTCCTCAGAAGCCTTCTCTCGAAAAATCCCCACCTCGCGGCCCTAAAACCCTAAAACCCCCATGCCCGAACCCCCACATGTTCGAAGATGCTCTTCGAAAGGAGCTCCATGGCTTCCGCAGGGTCTGTTCAGGGTTTAGGGTTTAGGGTTTAGGGCTAGGGTTTAGGGTTTAGGGTTTAGGGTTTAGGGTTTAGGGTTTAGGGTTTAGGGTTTAGGGTTTAGGGTTTAGGGTTTAGGGTTTAGGGTTTAGGGTTTAGGGTTTAGGGTTTAGGGCGACTTTAGGGTTCGGGGCTAAGGGTTGGAATGCGGGCTTCTGTTCCCCCCTTACTTGAGTATACGAACAGGCTTGCGAAGTATGTGGAGTCTACCCAAAAGCCCTATAGACTTCCTGGGTTTAGGGTTTAGGGTTTATAGGGTTTATAGGGCTTATAGGGCTTATAGGGCTTATAGGGCTTCTAGGGCTTATAGGGCTTCTAGGGCTTATAGGGTTTAGGGTGAGGCCAGTCGAAGTGACGCGCTTAGATGTTGAGGTTCTCGCTGTCAGGAAGAGACCCGATCTCACCTCCTTGTGCACGCTGAGGCGAAGTTGGAAACCCCGCAGCCTACACCCTACCCAGAGGGTCCATTTGTAGTACTATTAAGTACTATTATGGAATTAGGTACCCCAAAAACCCTACGAAATAGGGGTTTTGGGGTACCTAATTCCATAAACGTACTACAAATGCACCCTTTGGGCTAGATGCTAGAGCTGCTATAGAACCCAAGGCTGCCACACCCCCCCGAAGCCCCCCTTAGCCCTAAGCTCCTCAAGCCGGAACCCCTCAACACAAAGAAGCCCGAAACCCAAAAGAACACCCTAGAAGCCCGAGACAGCTTCAACTCCAAATCGAACTGAAAGCCCACCCTAAGCCCTAAACCCTAAACCCTAAGCCCTAAGCCCTAAACCCTAAACCCTAAACCCAAAACCCTAAACCCTAAACCAATCGCGTCCAAAGCCTAAATTCTCGAGCAAACGTAACCCAGCAACTCTGATCCAAGCACAAACCAGCAACAAGCTAAAGACCAAAGCGCTTTAAAAGCAAATCAGAAGCCGCACAACATCCCGAGCCCTACACCCTGGGGATGTTCCCCTTATACCAACAGTCCTTCATAGGGATTCTCATGGGGGGTACGAACATCCCTACTAAGGACTGTTAGTTTAAGGGGGAACATCCCAAGCCCTAAACCCTAAACCCTAAACCCTCAACCCTAAACCCTAAACCCTAAACCCTAAACCCTAAACCCTAAACCTCTCCTACCATATAAAAATCAACCTTAATGTCGAGCCCTATTGCCCCTGTGACAGGTCACGGCGGTCATGGTCAACTCGTCCCTGGATCAAGCCACCCAGGCGCTTCCTCCCCCTCCCCCATTCCCCCCTCCATACTTGGGGGTTTAGGGTTTAGGGTTTAGGGTTTAGGGTTTAGGGTTTAGGGTTTAGGGTTTCCCCCCTCCCCCTTGCCCTTGGCGTCTTGGCACTGGATTTGCGGGTTAGCCACCCGAAACCGAAACCCTGAACATTGAACCCTAAACTTCAGTAGATTATGGAATTCGGGCGTTCGGGTAGAGGTTCATGGGGTAGGGTCTAAGGGTTTTGAAAAGGGCTGACCTCATTCAGGGTACGGATTGCTCCAGCACCCGGGCCCCCCCCAACCCCAACCCCGAAACCCCTAAGCCCCTGAGCCCCTAAGCACCTAAGCCCGAAGCCCTAAACCCTAAACCCTAAACCCGCCTAAACCCAAAACCCAAAACCCTAAAACCAAACCTCAAACCCCAAACCCCAAACCCTAAACCCTAAACCATAAACCCTAAACCTTAAACCCTAAACCCTAAACCCTAAACCCTAAACCCTAAACCCTAGCCCTAAAACCCAAACCCCCCCCCCCCCCCCCCCCCCCCCGCCTCTACCGCAGGATAAGGAGGCCCTCAAGGCCTGGGAGTCTGCGCGTCGAGCTAAGCAGCGGCCTGGTCGCGCTAGAAGCTGCTGAGAGTTTCGGTTTCGGGTTTAGGGTTTAGGGTTTAGGGGTTTAGGGGTTTGGGGGTTTAGGGGTTTAGGGGTTTAGGGGTTTGGGGGTTTAGGGGTTTAGGGGTTTAGGGGTTTAGGGGTGTAGGGGTTTAGGGGTTTGGGGTTGTGGGGTTTAGGGATTTAGGGTTTAGGGTTTAGGGTTTAGGGGTTTAGGGTTTAGGGTTTAGGGGTTTAGGGGTATATGGTTTAGGTATTTTGGGGTTAGGCAGAGGGGAGTCTGAATTCCCAGGTCTGGTAATGAGCGATCATTCCTTAGGTTCATAGTTATCAGGATCCCGATTTCATCGTGAAGCGCAATTAACCACTAATCCCTCAACCCTAAACCCTAAACCCTAGTCAAGAGAACTTCATATCTTTGCGTTGGCATTCTAGTCCATTGTTGGAACCATTGGCCTTTGTATGGCCCCTTACCCTTGTTTCAAGGGATCCGAGGTATGAGGCCCTCATGATTACATATCGTGTATATAAGGCTTATATAACAAGGGACCCTCTGCAACCCGAATTGAACCCTAAAAGCCCTGGAACCCTCGATGCATCTGTTTCTCTCTCTATCGCGCAAGGCATCTCTGCTATACCGAAACCCTCCGTTTAGCAAACCTCCCAGGACGGGCTATGAGGACTTATAATCCCCATACTCAACCCAATAAAGGGCCTTTTTAAGGGGTTAATTAATAGGGGTATAATAGCCCGTCCTGGTCCGTATGCCATGACGCTCTGCGTACTCGCTTGTTTGCTGCTGCCCCTGGCGCTGCGGCCAGTCCTGGCACTGATGAAGACTGGAAGTTCCCACCGGAAGGAGCCCGTGCAGACCTACACGCTTCTCGTGAAGTTCCACAAGGTAGCAGCTCGGGAGCCCAGTGGTACTCTTTACCCTTTTTTGTTTTTGTTCTGGGTTCCCTAAACAGTAGCCAACCCAAAAAAGCCTACCCTTATGATAATATATATATATATATATATATACGTCCCCAAGTAGTGGGACTCCCCTGGCAATAAGGACCCAAATAAGGAACCCCCAAACATCGTAAACCCCCCATATGGTTGCCGGGCTACCAAGGCCTGCACTGAAGGAGGGACCCTTTTATGGGACCTTAGCGGTTATTTCGGGGTTATTTGGGGGCTACCTAGGTAGGGGACTATATAAGGCATATATAGGGGGTTTTCTAGGGAAATCAGATTTAGGGTCCCTAAACCCTAAACCCTAAACCCTAAACCCTAAACCCTAAACCCTAAACCCTAAACCCTAAACCCTAAACCCCAGGGGTCCCTCCTTTTACCCCTTCAAAGACCAAGGCAGGGACCACCTTCCGAGAGTACGTGGATGCGCTCGCAGGGGAAGGGCAGCCGTGCTCAAGCGACTGCGGCTCGGTAGGCCCTTGGGTTCAGGGTTTATAGGGTTTATAGGGTTTATAGGGTTTATAGGGTTTAGGGTTTAGGGTTTAGGGTTTAGGGTTTAGGGATATTTGCCCTTATTTGGGGTTCAGAGGATCATACTCAGGAGTGTTTTTTTCAGAGGGGTTTTAGGGCCATCCCAGGCGGGAACCCTGATTGGAAGTGCCAAACTTGGTGGCCGGATCCGGATGAGCAGGCTCAATGTCAGAAGCTCCTCTCCGGTCGCTTCACCTGCCCCTTGGGGGTTCTTTGGGAAGTGTTTTTTTCTAGAGTAAATTTTGGGTACTGTAACGTGTAAGAAACAGCTAAAATTATAAGTTTTGCTAGGGTTTAGGGTTCAGTATAGGCCCTGGCCGGCCGACCAGCTGCACTTTTCATCCCAGCCTGGACCTGATCTCTGGAGCGACGGCGAACCAAAACCTGACTGTAGCCAACCACTCTGACTTGGCCGGGGTCGAAAACTTGTGGCCAAGCAGCAAGCGCTTTTGGCTCTACTGGCGCGTGCCTTGGGCGCGGGCCTTCCTGCCGGAACACATGTTCGACCTGCAGCGCAAGCGGATCCTGGTTTCGACCATTCTTCGGGATCCCGTCGAGAGGATCCGCTCCTGGTACCTGACGCTCCATCTCCCTACTATTTTTGGGGGTTTAGGTTGACAGCTTAGGGTGAGCCCCGATATTTCGGGGGTCAGAGAACCTACCATTATAGAAATTGTGGGCAAGGAGGGGTTTAGGCTTACAGATTATAGGGTCAAAGGCCCGATAATTTCGGGGGCCAGAAAACCCACCATCTTGTGGGGTTTTGGGCGTCACAGGTATTACTATTGGGCCGTTGGTCAGAGCCATACGACCTTCCTGGACTGGCTCCAGTTCCGGCGAGACTTTGTGTCGGGCAATTGGACCCAGGCTGGACTGGAGGCGCAATCTCACGAGCCTTTGCTTGCCCAGTGGTACCCTGTTCCCCCCTTTAGGGTTTAGGGTTTAGGGTTTTTAGGGTTTAGAGTTTAGGGTTTTGGGTTTTGGGTTTTGGGTTTTTAGGGTTTAGGGTTTAGGGTCAAGAGCCTTGGTGGCCCGGTGGTACCCTGTTCCCGCCCTCTTTTTTTTGGGAGGGGTTCAAGGTTCCCTTACCTTTTTTTGGTTCAAGATTACCTTATGAAGTAACCAACCCTGAAAAAGGGTGCCCAGTATTGGTTATACTGGGCCACCAAGGAGCCCAACTTTGCGGCGACGCTGTCGACTTTCCACATGTCCTGCTGCGAGTATGAGGTGTATCTGGGCCAGGGCAGCGTGGAGAGGGCGAAGGTCGCGCTCGCCACACAGTTCGATCTCGTTGGGATCACCGAGCGCATGAGCGATTCCATCGTTAGCCTGGGTAAACTCTATGGAAAGACGGCTGAGGAGATGGCCCAGATCCTTGGCTTTCTTCTGGCTGGCTCTTAGGACTAACTTTTTGGGTATTTGGTAGAAACTACAACAAGGGGGCTTCAAAGTTGAACCTTTCGGAGGGGTTCAGAAGTCAGCCAAGGATCGGTCAGCACATAGGGAAGGACCTTGAAAACTCGCGCAAGCTAGACTGGACCGACGAGGAGAAGTCATTGGCGACCTACATCGCCAACAAGAGCCCAGGTAGGCCTTTGGGACATTTTACATTTTCCCTTAGTAGGTTTACACCCTAAACCCTACACCCTAAACCCTAAACCCTAAACCCTTACCCTAAACCCTAAACCCTAAACCCTAAACCCTAAACCCTAAACCCAACTAATATTTCGGAATACTCTTTTCAGAGGGTCTTATAAAGGGCCATCCCAGGAGCACGCAAGTCTACAACTTCGGGAAGGAGCTTTGCTGGCCCAGTGGTACCCATGTTTGCCCTTGGTTTTTGTTTTTGGGGTTTGGGCTTTGGGGTTTGGGGTTTGGGGTTTGGGGTTAGGGCTTAGTTTTTCTTTGTTAGAGTTCATAGGGTTTTTGCCCTTGGTTTTTGTTTGGTTCAAGGTTCCCTTATTGGCTTAGTCGGTGAGTGAGTACACTTTACACCTTTTGGGATACTAGGATCCCCTAGAGAACTGAAAGTGTACACATGTTTGGGGCTTATGAACCCAGCAACTCAGTTGGAATGTTCCCCCTTGTACTAACAGTCTTTAATCGGGATTATAGTATCGCCCTATTACAATCACTATTAAGGACTGTTAGTATAAGGGTGAACATCCAAAGTTCCAGTATTAAGTACCCAACCCCAAGAAGGGCACCCTTGTTTCAATATGGGCGGTTGACGAGAATACGGGAACCCTAGTATAGACCCCCAAATACTACGATCACCTTACAGTAAGGGCCCAATATGCTACCCCTAATCACTGAACCCTAAACCCAACACCCTAAACCCTAAGCCCCCATAAGCACCCCAACAAGGTACCCCGAAGATCGTAAACCCCGATATAGTTCCTTGGGCTACGAAGGAGCTCTTCGTCCGGCAGTATCTCTCACTCTTCGGCAGTGAGGTCAACTTGCAGCGCGAAGTGGCGAGGTTTGAGGCCCTTCTGCCCAAAGGCTGACACTCAGACACCGGGAAACCCTAAACCCTAAACCCTGAACCCTAAACCCTAAACCCGAAGTCTCACCCTATATTCTCCTTCAGTGCTCCAGGAGCCGGATGGTTCAGGTTCCTGGGAGTAGAGGGGAAGACTGCGCAAGACGCAGAGTTCCCTTGGAGTGAACCTTCAATGCATCAGGCGAGTCCCATCTCAAAAATGCTGGTCCAAAAGGGTTTAGGGTTAAGGGTTTAGGGTTTAGGGTTTAGGGTTTAGGGTTTAGGGTTTAGGGGGTATAGGGTTTAGGGGGTAGGGATTAGGGTTTAGGGTTACCTCAGGGAGGGTGTGGGGTTTCGGGAGATGGGGGGGCCATTTCGAGCTTGGGGGTACTATCTTGACCCTGCAAAAGGTTACCCTGGTGGTTGTTCGCCCTGAAGCCCTAAACCCAAACCCTAAAGCCCAAACCCCAAACTCTAATCCCCCAAAATTGCCATCGGGTAGGTTCACTGTTCATTACGGAAAGGAC